ACATACACAAGAATATGAAAAATATACTAAATTCTCGTATTTTTTCTTATATTTTTGGTATTTAGTGAATTTTCTAAAGAATAATTTCACAAATATTATATTTTTTAGGAAAAATTATGAAATATTCATCTCCAACTTTGTGTAGTAAGAGAGGGCCAAGATTTATTTTTTTATTAGCTAAGGTCTCTCAACATTTTCATAGAGAAAATTTAATCAGAGAAATTTTGTTCGACTCAAAGAAATTTTAGTCAGAGAAATTTTGAGAGAAATTTCTCTGTGCAATCAAAGAAATTTCTTTGAGTCATGGCGAAATTTCTTTGAATCGAGCAAAATTTCTTTGAATCAAATCTTTTCTGTAGAAATGTTGAGGAACCTTAACTACTAAGAAATATTGTATGTATTTTATCTTATAAAATCTTAATATCATAAACCTTTAAAAAAATTATTTAGAATATTAAAAAAAATTCAGTGAAAAAAAATACGAAAAATAAAAAAAAATTTAATTTTGTGAAAGGTGAATCTAGAGAATCCAAAACAAACAACCTCAATGAGAGTGTTTGGTGTGGCTTTTTAAGTACATTCTAGTTTTCGAAAAGTTATTTTAAATTGTTTGGTTAAAATTATTTTAAATAATTTTTGATTTTAGTAACTTATTTTAACTCAAAAAAATTGATTTATGTCCATTCTCGCTTCTGATTATAATAGCTTATTTACAATTATACCTTTAGATTTTTTTATTTTTTTATTTTTTTAAATTAAAAAAAAAACCCAAATAGACTATGGACTATTTTTTATTTATTTATTTATGGGAAATATGGATTAGTAGTTAATAAAAAAAAAATAAAAGTTAATTCAATTTACAACTAACAAAGGTTAGTTCAATTTACAATTAATAGGGTAAAAAGGACATTTACACATCAAAAAATTATTTTACTACTTGCTTACTAAATACTACTCAACAATTTAAATTTACAACCCCGCAGTTGCGCTAATCAGACTAATCACTCCTAACTTAAATTATTATTTATAATGTGTTAACAATTATACCAAATACTCCCAACGTGTTTCCATTCTGGAACGATTTTATTTGTCATTTAATTTATGCATAATTTTCCGTACATTTAATTTTCTCAGAAAATTTTAGAAGGCTAAGAGGTTTGAATTCTCTACGTTTCTCACCTGTGTTACATACCTCCATTTAATATATACAATAATACTCACATTGTCATCCGTTAGATCAAAATCATTTTTGATTGCTTTGTGGTTTTCTAGGGTTTAGGATTTTTAGAAGATTTGCGAACTTGTGCATGGACAGATCCTTGTAAATTTGTGGTACAATTTTTTTATAGGATTAAGCTTAGACAGGAAATTTTTGATATTTTTTTGGGATGCTTGCGAGCGATGATGGATTCAGGGGTGCGGATGGGGCAACTATATCCTAAAAGTTTTGAAAAATATTATATATTATATTAAAATATTTAAAATAATTAAAAATTATAAAGATTTGTCCTTTTAAATATAATTTTCACATTTCAACAATGATAATTCTGAATTTGTCTTTGCTTGCAAGGGATGGAAAAAAAAAAAAAAAAGAAGAAAAAAGGTGATAGTTTCCCTATCATGCCATGGCCGTTCAAGGCCTGTCGTTGATTCATTTTACAATCCAATTACTTCAGATTGGTTAACGATATCTGATTAATTTAATTTTTTATATGTATATTTCACTCAATGTGTTATAAAATATGAACTCTTCAGATTATCAAAATAGATCCCAAAATAGACTCATTTGCCTATACAACAGTCACCTCAAATCCTATTTTACTAGTAGTGATGGAGTAGATGGTTTGTACTTATGTTTTGTTAATTGATGTTCTATGTTTATATGCATGCTCAAGGATGGACCGGGATTTATCCTTAGTGAGGAGGGCCAACGGTTCATATCGGTTGACTCAATTTAGGTTCATTTAAGTTGTGTTTGGTATAGAAATTTAGAAAGAAATTTGAAAAGAAAAAAAAGTATGTGAAATGAAAATAAAATATACTTACATTTCATTTAATTTCACACATATTTTTCTTTATGCTTTTCCTTTTCAAATTTCTCTCCAAATCACTCAACCAAACACTATCCAAACCATAATCGAATTGATTGATTCTCTAAATTTAAACATCGAGCGGCTATTTTTCATATTTAACTTGTTTTATCTCAAATATTAAATTTGTTAAAAATGAATTTGTAGAACTCAAGTTAAGATATTTTAAAAAAATTTAGCATAAAATACACATCAAGGCCAAACATGTCATGAATTGTGCTTATCATCACATCATTGGATTTATTAATTAGGAAGTGTGTCTTTATAACTAATAAAAAAAGGCCTAATCGCATAGGGGTAACCTCTGTGATTAGACTTTAAGGAGCCGAGACCCTTGAGGTCATCCTTAGGTGGTCCTAGATAAGGGGTCACTCAACTATGTAGCGGTAAATCGTGGACTCGCACACAAGTGAGGATTCAAATCCACACATGTCTGACACTAGAAATGATTCACCTAAACCCTAGATGGTGCAATATAGTACAGTCACTCAATCATGTAGCGATAAGTCGTGAACTCATACATAGACGATGATTTGAACCCACACTCATGACATTGGATACAATTCTCCTAGGCCTTAGGTGGTGCTACATTACAACATCACCCAATCATGTAGTGGCAAGTCGAGGATTTGTACACAGGAGAGGATTCAAACCCACACTCCTTAGTTTGCCCAGGCCTTAGGTGGTACTACATACAAGGGTTACTCAACCATGTAGTGGTAAGTCCCAAATTCGCACATAGGCAATGATTCGAATCCACACTTCTATTGTTCGACCAAGCCTTAAGTGGTACTACATAACACGCGCCACTCAACCATGTATTGGTAAATCCTGGACTCGCACAGAGGTAGTGATTCGAACTTACACTCCTAACATTGGGTATGGTTTGCCTAGGCTCCTGATACTAGGTACGGTTCCCCAAACTTAGAAGATTTGTCCTATCAACCATATATGTTTTCACTTGGATAACTGACTCTAGAAAGAGTGGAACTTGGGATCTCAAAGTTTATATTTCAAAATCTTACCAAATTGCAATACCACTTAAATTCTTTATGACTAATAAAAATCAAAGTTGAGACCTTCATCCTAAAAGTAATTATTTTGTTTGGTTCTGGTTTTCAGAAAACAGTTTTCAGAAAATTCTATATTTTTATTTTTCGTATTTTAATGTTTTCAATGAATTCTATATACTAGGTACGATTCCCCAAACTTAGAAGATTTGTCCTATCAACCATATATGTTTTCACTTGGATAACTAACTCTAGAAAGAGTGGAACTTGGGATCTCAAAGTTTATATTTCAAGATCTTACCAAATTGCAATACCACTTAAATTCTTTATGACTAATAAAAATCAAAGTTGAGACCTTCATCCTAAAAGTAATTATTTTGTTTGCGAGCGGCTATTTTTCATATTTAACTTGTTTTATCTCAAATATTAAATTTGTTAAAAATGAATTTGTAGAACTCAAGTTAAGATATTTTAAAAAAATTTAGCATAAAATACACATCAAGGCCAAACATGTCAAGAATTGTGCTTATCATCACATCATTGGATTTATTAATTAGGAAGTGTGTCTTTATAACTAATAAAAAAAGGCCTAATCGTATAGGGGTAACCTCTGTGATTAGACTTTAAGGAGCCGAGACCCTTGAGGTCACCCTTAGGTGGTACTAGATAAGGGGTCACTCAACTATGTAGCGGTAAATCGTGGACTCGCACACAAGTGAGGATTCAAATCCACACATGTCTGACACTAGAAATGATTCACCTAAACCCTAGATGGTGCAATATAGTACAGTCACTCAATCATGTAGCGATAAGTCGTGAACTCATACATAGACGATGATTTGAACCCACACTCATGACATTGGATACAATTCTCCTAGGCCTTAGGTGGTGCTACATTACAACATCACCCAATCATGTAGTGGCAAGTCGAGGATTTGTATACAGGAGAGGATTCAAACCCACACTCCTCAGTTCGCCCAGGCCTTAGGTGGTACTACATACAAGGTTCACTCAACCATGTAACGATAAGTCCCAAATTCGCACACAGGCGATGATTCAAATCCACACTTCTATTGTTCGACCAAGCCTTAAGTGGTACTACATAACACGCGCCACTCAACCATGTATTGGTAAGTCCTGGACTCGCACAGAGGTAGTGATTCGAACTTACACTCCTAACATTGGGTATGGTTTGCCTAAGCTCCTGATACTAGGTACGATTCCTTAACTTAGAAGATTTGTCCTACCAATCATATATGTTTTCACTCGGATAGCTGTCTCCAGAAAGAGTGGAACTTGGGATCTCAAAGTTTATATTTCAAGATCTTACCAAATTGCGATACCACTTAAATTCTTTATAACTAATAAAAATCGAAGTTGAGACCTTCATCCTAAAAGTAATTATTTTGTTTGGTTCTGGTTTTCAGAAAACAGTTTTCAGAAAATTCTATATTTTTATTTTTCGTATTTCAATGTTTTCAATGAATTTTTTTTAATATTTTAAACAATTTTTTTTTTAGACACACTCAACATAAATACACTTAAAAAGTATAATATTTGTGAAAAAATCTGTAAAAAAAAAACACTAAATATCAAAAAATATAATAAAAATACGAAAATTTAGTACATTTTTCATATTTTTGCATATTTATTAATTTTTAAAAATATTTTTTACAAATATTTTACTATTTATATAAAGTACATCTAAAGAAGTAAAAAAATTATTTAAAATTTTAAAAATATTTACTAAAAATAAAATAAAAAAACTTAATTTTGAAAAAAATTGAATTCAAATACCTAAAGCCAACACATTGATTGAATTTTTTTACCAATTTTTATTTTTAATTTTTTTCTTCCTTCATCGCCACAAAATTCCCAAATATGTGATAGCGTGAGCCTTAAAAAAAAAACAAAAAAAGTGGAGCTGTGGAGATAGAAGCTACCTCCTGGGAACAAAACCAAGTTAAACCTCTTGCGGTAATCCCATCTCCATTAACTTTCCTCTCTCTCTCTCTCTCTCTCTCCGACAGCGTTCTTGAGGCCCTTGTTCTGAGTCTCTGAGCCAAAGCAGCGGCTTGTGATTGAGAGAACTCTCCCTAACAGTTTGGCCATTAAAGATGTCGGGAAAAGGCGCCAAGGGTTTGATAATGGGGAAGACTCCCACCAACAAAGACAAAGACAAGAAGAAACCCATCTCTCGCTCCTCCCGAGCTGGCCTCCAGGTCACCCCCTCCCTCTCTGTTTATGTTCATGCTTTATCCAGTTTCGATTTGGTTCGATTACATTTCTTATTTTTTTTCGATTTGTGCTTTATTAGACTTACTTAATCTTTGACAATTGTTCCCTGTTATTTTGGATGTTTAGTATTTTATCATTCTGCCCATTGTTTCCTTTAATTAGGGCTTCGATTGGTTGATTTTACATATCTTATGTTGCTTTTCTATTACTTATTCCTTTGGCCCAGCTGTCGTTGCGTGTAAGTAATTTTTTATTTTTATTTTTAAACACTTTAGCTTACCACTTTCTACTAACAAAGCTCTTTATTTTAGCTATCTCTTCCTTTAAAATATTTTTTCTTGCATTTTTTATTTTCTTCAAATACAAGCATATTGAAAGGTCTAGAAAACTAATAAGCAACGGGAATAGCGGATTTAGGCATTCCTTCTGTGTTCGAATCCAGAAATAAGAACCTGATGGGTGAGTCACGTGCTTCTAAATCACAAACTAGTCTTTCCTGGGGATAGGGTGATGTGTATAACGTATATTAGAGTTGTAACCACCGGCGGACGGGATGGTAAGCTATCAACACTTATCCCCATGATAAGGTGATTTGAATTAAAATTATATGGGTCTCCCAAATGGGTCATGAATTATGCCATCATGAGCACAGCCCGGTTTGAAACGCGGCCTACTTTACCAAAAAGGGGAAGTGGTTTGTTAGGAATAAAAAATTAAGTTAGCTAGGTGGCTCATTGATTTTGTAGTCGTGGAACTAACGTCAAGTTATTTTAACTAGCCCTTTAGCTAGTTTGATGAAGCTATTTTTGCGGTGGTTTACTGGCTACTTTAAGTAAAATACCAATTTAGTAGAAGTGGCAAACTCAAGCTGTACCCATGAACACTCCCAAATATACCCATTTAAAACCCGCTTAAATTCTCCCAAATTTATAAATGGATTTAAATGGATTACTCTTTGTGAACCCAATTAATTTTGAGTTTAAATAGGTTGGACATAGGTTCCCATTTAAACTTATTTACATGGGTACCAATTTATCTACCGCCACCGCCACCCTACCACCACACCACACTAGTGCCACCATTCTACCGCTACTCCATTGCCACCGCCACCACCTCTTTTATCTATCTCAGTTCTTCCCTATGTGTTGTGTGTGTGTGTGTGTGTGTGAGAGAGAGAGAGAGAGAGAGAGAGAGATATTGGAAAACCATTCAATCCAAGTTGATCATAATTACTCCTTTAGGTCACCCAGCTCACTTGCAGGGTGACCATAACTGCTAATGCAGTGTTTGGCCATGATAATATATATGTTATTCTAATTAGATCCAACCAAGCAATCCACCTCTCTCTTTATGTGTGCGCTTGTGCATGTTGTGTTAGTTGTGATTCTTTAAGGTCCTGTTTGGGGATAGTCTATTTTAGCTTAAAAGTTTAAAGAGTCACTACAAGTTATCATATTAATATCTCTACTTTTCACGCACCTTTTCATTAAAAATAAAAAAATCAGCTGAAATAGCCAATTCTCAAACCACCCCTCAGTCTCAGTCTTTCTATTATGATTAGCAACTCCATTGATGTGTATAATCTACTTCATCTATTTTGATACATACATGATACATATATGTGTGTGTATTCATATATATGTGATTATATATATTTTTCTCAGAATCTTGAAGAATATACATGATCCACTACCACCACTCCATCGCTGTCATGTATAAGAAAATCGATAAAGTAAAAGAGTTGGTTGGGTTGATTTGTCCAATCCATATCCAATTCAACCCTAGCCATTTAAACCCGTTTATTAACTGGGTGGATTTGGATTGGATTGTTTTAAATGCACAACCTGTTTTGGCCTGCCCATTTGCCACCTCTACGATTTAGCTACTCTCGTCCTCACAATGGGTAACTATTCAAATATGGTGAACCGTATTAAGGGCTTGTTTGACAAATATATATATATATATATTGCTTTTTTACATTTTTAAGAATAAAATTGATGCGTTTTGCATATCTTAAAATGTCACCATTTTAATTTTTTTCATGTGGGATTTTTTTTTTTTTTTTCCTTTTGTTTTAGTGACTTTTATTTTTAAGACTAATTGGACTTGAAAAAAAAAAAAATGGGAAGATGTAAAAACTAAACATAGCTTTAGCATCACATCCTTCGAGTTACCCCTCCTTTGGAGGCAGTGTGTGGGTTTGGATTTTTTGTGCCTAAGGCCAAGTTTGACAATTGCAAAATAATTCATCTTTTTATCTTTTTTTTATCACATCACCTCTCTACTTTTTTGCACATCTTTTCGTAAAAAGACAAAAAGTGCGCTTATTTAGGTCATCGCAAACAACCCCTAAGTGTGATTTTGTGTGAGTTGTTCTTTGTAAGATAAAACTTGGAGGTAACTCACATGGGTGGGCCCCACCCCACAAGCGAGGGGCTGTGCATCCGGCATAATGGCTGTTGATTTAGCAATTTCCTAAAACTTTGGGTTAGTTGTTGAGGGAAGATTATGATATGTAAGACTATTAATTAAGTGAAGTGTACTGTAGGTAATAAAATAGTATTAGAAGGTTACTTTCATGGTAGTATGCTAGGTGACTTGGCAAATTGTTGCAAATGGAAGAACAAAGAGATTAGTGGATTTGTGTTATCAATAGGGTTTGTTCTATTTGAGGTTAGTGGACTTTTGAGTCATTGGTAAAATGCCTTCTGCAGAGTTTTGTCTGTTGATGATTTGCTTTTGAATTCTAAACGACAAAAATAGAGTTAAAATGTTTTCTTTTTTCTTTTTTTTCTTTTTTTCTTTTAAATAGAAAAGAAATACAGGTAAAAACTTTACATTGAGCTGGTGGAAGATGTTTAAAAATCACAAGCTCATCATGTCGAATTTAATTCAGTAAATTGATGATAGGGAAATTGATGGATGATAGGGATTTTGGAAAGGATGTTGTTTTCAACATAACAAGAGCATTTGCGCAGATGCCTTTTTGGGGTGTTGTTTACCCAATACTTAGGCAACGAAGGATGATCAATATTGGAGTTCAAATTATCATAAATCATGAAAGCATGAACAAATAAAAGCTCACACAAGCAATTTAGATTACATATAGGTGGGTGGATTTGAAGTTGAAATTAATTAATATGCCAGCTGAAGGGGTAGTTGTTAAGATGGTTCTATTGACTGACCTGGGGAAGTACGGAGTAAAGGAAAGGGGAATATATTGTTTGAGGAACCTTGTGCGACAAATTCCCTTTTGGGAGATCCCTTTCAAGTTACTCCCTCACCTTGTAGTTTCAAAATCTTGACATATAAGGCTCTCAAATCCGTTTGATGTTATATTATTAATATTTAATTTGATTAAGTCTAGATCTAAATTACACTCCTTTAATTGTTGAATTCAACACCATTATCTCATATTCATAAATCAAAATTATTATTATTATGATTTATTTTTTTATTTTTTTTGGGTTGCTTATTTTGTATAGTGAACATTCTTCAAATTTTAGCCATCCATTGTTGTTTAGTAAGTTTTATCATGTAAAACTTACGATTGAGGGTCTCTAAGTTTTGAAGCATACAAGATGAAAAGAGAGTTGTTTTGGTTTCTTATCAAATCGGTCTTAAAAGAGTCGCTTTTGCAGACCCAAAATAAACGCTTTAATGCGTGGACCGTAAGCCCCTACTCCTAAGCCTCCACCACGAACAGCGGAGTGTCCTCCTCCTACTGCTACTAGTCCTAGCAAAGAGCGGTAATGCCCCATCTATTCTAGCAAACCAAGGGAGACCCAAGCAGCAAGAACAAGAGGGAATCTTGCCGATTCTGATTAACTTGCGAAAAACAGTGTTTGTTTCTCTTTAAAATAATTGTAAAACTATCCTTTTGGCTGCAAGGGGTAAGCCTTTAAGGCATAGTTACCTGAAAATGCTAATACCTAGCGATTTACATTTTGAAGTTGTGGACCACAAAGAGCTTTCTTTGTGTGGTATAAACTAAGCAATATTTCTTTCCCATGTATTAGGGGTAAAAAAAATAAATAATATAAAATAAAATAAAAAACTACAGCAATATAATGAATAATATTAGTAATTTATATGTTGGTTGATTCTAATTTTTTTTCTTGCCTGATCGTTGACCTTGGTTTTTAGACAAAAATGTTTGAGAGTTCTAAAATAAGGGCTCTAAAGGAACTCTTAGGTAAGACTCACCAATTGATGCGATGTCTCTACGGTTTTAAAGTCGTCACCATATATCATAAATATCCATTCAATGAGTAGGAAAAGTAGTTAAGCCTTTCCGTTAGGTATTGATTATTGAATCCATATCATCTCTCAAATGGTTACTCTGCACTTTTTTTTTCTTAATTGCTATATCTTAATTGGAGCTCAAATTATCATAAACCATGAAAGCATGAACAAATAAAAGCTCACACAAGCAATTTAGATTACATATAGGTGGGTGGATTTGAAGTTGAAATTAATTAATATGCCAGCTGAAGGGGTAGTTGTTAAGATGGTTCTATTGACTGACCTGGGGAAGTACAGAGTAAAGGAAAGGGGAATATATTGTTTGAGGAACCTTGTGCGACAAATTCCCTTTTGGGAGATCCCTTTCAAGTTACTCCCTCACCTTGTAGTTTCAAAACCTTGACATATAAGGCTCTCAAATCCATTTGATGTTATATTATTAATATTTAATTTGATTAAGTCTAGATCTAAATTACACTCCTTTAATTGTTGAATTCAACACTATTATCTCATATTCATAAATCAAAATTATTATTATTATGATTTATTTTTTTATTTTTTTTGGTTTGCTTATTTTGTATAGTGAAGATTCTTCAAATTTTAGCCATCCATTGTTGTTTAGTAAGTTTTATCATGTAAAACTTACGATTGAGGGTCTTTAAGTTTTGAAGCATACAAGATGAAAAGAGAGTCGTTTTGGTTTCCTATCAAATCGGTCTTAAAAGAGTCGCTTTTTCAGACCCAAAATAAACGCTGTAATGCGTGGACCGTAAGCCCCTACTCCTAAGCCTCCACCACAAACAGCGGAGTGTCCTTCTCCTACTGCTACTAGTCCTAGCAAAGAGCGGTAATGCCCCATCTATTCTAGCAAACCAAGGGAGACCCAAGCAGCAAGAACAAGAGGGAATCTTGCCGATTCTGATTAACTTGCGAAAAACAGTGTTTGTTTCTCTTTAAAATAATTGTAAAACTATCCTTTTGGCTGCAAGGGTAAGCCTTTAAGGCATAGTTACCTGAAAATGCTAATACCTAGCGATTTACATTTTGAGATGAACATGCTGAAATGTGGTATACGTTTGTCATGCAAAAATGCCACTCTCTAGATTTTAGCTCATTATATTTGATTATTTTCTTTGGATAGCTAAACTAAGTTAAAGAATAATAAGTTAAAGAATAATACACTATATTTTATTTGATGTCCCATTATTAAAAAAAATTACTCACATTTAGAAGTGCCTCTAGTAGTATGATCTTACTACTTTGTCCCTATCATATCGACCATGTAGGACTACTTTCTTGTATCAACTTCTATAGCTGCAAGATTTGTTTCACCAAATGACCCTGTAATGTGTCTTTTTCTGTTCAATCAATCAGTCGGCATTTCTAAATCGCGTCTCTCAAAATTGGATACATTTTTACTACTACCACTAAAGCATCCAGGGAGTATTGTGCTATAATTTCTGTATGAAGGCAATGAAAATTTATCTCTAGCATATAATGTGCAGTTTCCAGTTGGTCGGATCCATCGTTTACTGAAAACTAGGACAACGGCGCATGGTAGAGTGGGAGCTACAGCTGCTGTCTATGCTGCGGCTATCTTGGAGTATTTAACTGCAGAGGTGTTGGAGCTAGCTGGCAACGCAAGCAAGGATCTCAAGGTGAAACGTATCACTCCCAGACATTTACAACTCGCAATTCGAGGAGATGAAGAACTTGACACCCTGATCAAAGGAACTATAGCTGGTGGAGGTGTAATTCCTCATATCCACAAGTCCCTCATCAACAAATCATCCAAGGAATAGATTAAAACATCGAGCGAGCATGGTATCTTTCTTTGCCTACCCTACTCTTCATGTGGTTAGTTTTTCTATGTCTCTTGTGGATTTGTTTTCACTTTTTTTGCTGATGCATTAATGTAACTAAGATGTCTGCTGTATTAGATCTAGGTTATTGATTTGTCGTGGTAGGTTTGATTTTTATATCTAATGGCACTGACCGAGGATGTGGTTACTATGTAACCTTTATTAACTTGGCGCTCTTGTATAGAAATGTTTGTATGGATTGGCATAAACGATGTTCATTTGTCAGAAGATTTTTTAAGAGCCCATCTGATCTTTAGTATCCTCGGTTCATCTCAGTTCATCATTCACATGGAAAAATAGCAGAAACAAATTGGAAATTATAAATATACCCTCCACTAGCTTATCATTTGAACCCATTCCCACCATGTTTATGAGAAAAATTACATGACTAAATCCCACAACAAATTAGAAACAAATAATTTGGCTCCAATGTAATCTCTCTATAATCTGCACTAGAAAGAAAACTAAAAATTCTATCCTTCCAACAATCCTCTAATTGGAAACAACAATCAAGCCCAACCTCCCCTTATCAGGAGAGATTTCACACTAATCATGAAAAAATGCTCAGACATTACCATTTTGAGTTTAGATGGTCAACACTTTTGGGACTTCCACCGGGAAGCTTTCAATCTCATCCATCCATGGGTTCTCCTCCTTTGCTGGTTTTATGGTCCTTAAAGCTTTCCAAACAGCACTGTTACATTTAAACCCCGATCCAAATGCTATTTGCCATACTCTATCTCCCTTCTTCATCCTCCCCTTGGCTTCTGAATAAGCCAATTCATACCATAGAGAGCTGCTTGATGTGTTACCAAAACGGTAAAGTGTCATCCTTGATGGCTCCATGTGCCACTCAGAAAGCTGCAAATTCTTCTCCAATTCATCCATTTCATCAAGCACAGCTCTTCCTCCAGCATGAATGCAAAAGTGCTCAAAAGCTAATCGGAAATCTGGTATGTAAGGCTTGATCTTCATCTTGAAAAGTTTCTTACCGATCAATGTAGCAAAGAAAAGCAACTGCTCAGACATTGGAAGTACAAGAGGCCCCATGGTAGTAATGTTCGTCTTCAAAGCATCACCGGCGACTGCCATGAGTTCTTTTGATAAAGAAACACCAACCCTCCCTTTAGCGTCCTCTTCTTGGGTCACGCATGCAAAGCACTTATCATCTGCACCCTTGTGAGTCCTCACGGTATGTACTAATCGATATTTGGATCTTCTTTTGTCAGTCCATTTGTTAGATAGGAGTATTGCAGCTCCTCCCATTCGAAACAAGCAATTTGAAATGAGCTTTGATCGATCATTTCCAGTGTACCAATTCAAAGTAATGTTCTCCATACTGATAACCAAAGCGTAAGAATTCGGATGGACTTGAAGAAGCTTTTTAGCAAGATCTATTGATATTAGACTGGCACTACAACCCATACCGCCTAAGTTGTAACTTACTATGTTTCCCCGGAGCTTGTAATGGTTGATGACCATGGCAGACAAAGACGGGGTTGGATTAAACAGGCTACAGTTGACGATCACGATCCCAATATCTTTCGGTTTAACAGAGGTCTTAGCGAAAAGCTCATCAATAGCACCATACATCACAGTTTCGGCTTCTTTTCTAGCTTCTTTCATCGATGGATTTGGAGGAATGTTTAGGACGGCCTCAGGAAGGTATGTTGAATTCCCAAGGCCAGATCTTTCAAGAATCTTGCGCTGAAACTGAAGATTCTCCTCCGTGAATTCGCCAGTTAGCTGTGATTGATCCATAAACTTCTTCATTGTGCATTTTCGAGCATCATCGGGCTTATAGCAGGAAAAGTCCACAAGGTAGACGGGGCGAGGTCGAGTAACGAAGTAAACGGTGGACAAAAGAACTAGAAGACTCGAGCAGAGGATTACGGAAATAAGATTGTATTGAAGATTATTCCAAAGATCAAGGAGATCTTGGAGCGAAAATGTCGAGAGTTGTGCAACGAATAATACTACAAGAGGAGAAAAGAAGAGGTACATTCCATGGGTGATGAGGTGATGGTATCCAAGTTTGACATATTTTAACTTAATCGATGACTTGAAATCTGGGAGCTTCAGCGATGAAGGTGACATTAAGGGTGTGTTTAATTTTGGTTCGGTCATTTTTCCTGATAGAAAATTAAACAATTGAGTGAGATCATATGGTTTAAAAGAAGATAAATAAAAGGCAATTTCAAGCACAAGTAGATAAAAAGATAGAAAAATCTGTGATGTTTGAACCAACTAAGAACACCAATTACGAGAAACAAAAAATAAAAATGATTGCTTTTATGGGTATCTAAATTTTTTTTATATAAGAGCATCTCTACCAATCTTGCTAGATCTTACTTTTAGAGGAAATAGCAAGGAAAATAGAAGAAAATTTGTTCCAACAGTCTCGCTCCATGCTCGATAGTTTAATATGGAGCTACAGTTGCTAATTACTTATTTTTATTTTTTCAGAATTGCAACAATACTTCTATTATTGGATATTGACATGTAAAAAATAAGGAAAAATGAAAAATTGGTGTATATTTGGGAAAAAAAAATTAATGATAAATTTTATTATTAAAATCATAATTTTTTTTGAGTATGTAATTGTTTTGAAAAATTACATCTGATTTGTAATTTTTTCAAAAAATAATCACTTTGGATTTGTTTTTAGAATAACTAATTTGATAAAAATAAATACAAAAAAATATATTTTTTAATTTTTATAAATTATTTTTTCTTCCGAAATGAGAAAATGATATTAAAATGATATTTTAATAAAATAAAATTTTAAAATAAAGAATTTGATAGAATGTGTACATAAAAAAGAGATTAACTTAAATACAAAAATGAATTTTGAATTATAATGACTCAAATTTTGCTATGATTGATGCGAATACTCTAAGATAGTTAAGTAATCTTGTTTGGCGATTTGTTTTCAGGAAAGTTTTCTAAAGCAAAGTCACTTTTATCTACCAAGCACATCTACATAAAAAGATCGAAAAATATGTAAATGTTTGAGGCAACTTAGAACACTGATAAAAGAGAAATATAACAATAAAAAATAGATCATTTTTATGACGACCTAAATTTCTGATATAAATAGTTATTTCTTGTTCGGCGAATAGTAAACTTTTTTGAAAACAATTCAATTTTAAGGGAACATAAAAATGATGGTTGTTGAATTTTCAACAAAAAAAAGAAAAAAAAAGAAAAAATTTGCACAAAAATAAAAATGGTGGGTGTTTTTTCAAACTTTTCATTGTTCCACTTTCGAACATGAAAAAAATAAATAAATAAAAACACAATCAAACCACAATATAGTTCCACAATAGACCAATTTAGCTCAATGAAAAACTATTCCATGTAAAATCAAGCCAAAACATCAAGACAAAACAAATAAATAAATAAATTTCTGTTTTTTTCACAAATTAATGAATAAAACTGTCCTATCTTATCTTCTATAGAGCAAACGTAACAAAATCTTAACAAACGCATATCCAAACTCACATTAAAAGAAAAAAGAAAAATAAATAAATATAAACATATTTTGTGTTGATTAATTTGTATATTGTTTGAAATGTAATTACTTTTTTTTTCTAATGAATAATACTGGAACTTTCTTGATTATAAAGTCCTATTTGGTTTGATTTGGTTTTTAAAATCTATTTTCAGGAAAAAAAAAAGAAAAAGAAAAGAAAACTAAAAATTAAATTGGTGAAAAACAATAAAAGACACATCATTTTTATATATATATATATAATTTTATCTTTTGGAATGGTAGAAATAATTTTTGAAATTTGTTTTTGATATTTATTTTTGTTAAATTAGTTTCAATTTTAAAAAAAATCAAATATAGCAACAATTTTGATATATTATTAAACCAATTTATTAAATCAAAAAATTTAAAACTAGAATTATTTCATATATTAAATATACCGATTACACATTAAAAGCATAATAATTATCCATTATATGATAATCATAAAAAATCTCTTAACAACAAATACAACCCATCTATTACATGACAACCATCTAAAATATCAACAAAAACAACTAATTACAACCATCTAAAATATCAACAAAAACAACTAATTACATGATCATCATCCGAAAGATTTATCAATTTTACATAATTTTATCTTTAGTGGATAGAAATTATTTTTAAAAATTAAAAAACATTTTTTTGACCTTTATTTTTTTCAAATTAGTTTATATTTTGTGGGTGTTTAGGAAGTAACTATTTTAGAGACTTTTTGGCTATTTCAGTAAACTATTTTAGTTCTTATGTTTAGGGAGATGGGATGAATTTTTATTTGAGTTGTTATATTGAAAAATGTGTTAAAATAATGTTTAAAGTTAAAATGACAACTTTGTCCTTAATCTCACATTTTTCAAAATTAATTTAAAAGGGTAAAATCACCATTTCAGCCTCAAAGCCTAGGCTGTCACAATTATCAGCCTACACACTGTCATGACAGTGTAGGGCTGCCACTGCTGCCGGCTTTGCTCTTTTTTTTTATTATTATTATTAATATAAATTATTGATTTAGAATTTTTGAGAGTTTTTGACTTTTTTTTTAGTATTTGAGGTTATTTTAACCTCAAAAGTAAGTTCCCAAACACCCCTTATCAAATTGACCACTTTTGAAATAGAGTAGCAGTGTGTTTAATTATTCTTATTTGAAACAAAATTTAAAATTTATGACCAAATATATAATAATTGATCAGTTAAGAGTCAAAATGACACAAATCACAGACAATAGTGACAGTTAATATAGTTCGCCAAAACCCAGATCACGTTTCACATCATAAACAACCCTTTCATGCATTCAGATACAATCACATAATAGCAGCAATGAAACGAAACCCAGATTACAATTTCACCAAAAAAAAAAAGGGTAAAAACCATATTTGAAACGAAACCCAGATTGCAATTTTACACAAAAACAATATTTTTGAAGCATATAAGTTTAATCAGGAGAAAAGCCAGAAAGAAACTGACCTTGAAGGTGGAATTTGGAGCCGAGAACGCCTCTCTCCAGAGAATCCGCAGAGAGAGAGAGAGAGAGTGAGAGGGAGAGAGAGACAGAGAGAGAGAGAGAGATGGGAGGAGCCTGAGGGAGGATATAATTATAATTAAAGATTTTAACTTGTAATTGAAAAATATTAATATAGGTATTTATAGGCGGCGAGAACAATATGTGAAAGCCGTCCATTGTCACCATACGAGTACGCGTTTTATGATTTCTTTTTTAATTTGATTTCAACTTTGACGTCTGCCCCATGTATGACAACGGACTATTCATGGTTTTCACCATCCACCAAATTTTACTCCTCAGATTTGAATTCAAAGGAGAAAATCTAGCCGTTAATGAGTGATTTGTATAATCTCCTGAAAAAATATGAAGTTGTTTTTTACCACCATGATTTTATTTATCAGAAATTCTACAATAAATTTTTATTTTAATGTATCATGTGGTCGATTATAATATTGTGTAGTTTTTGGTTATGAGTTAGTTACACTCATTCTGATTGTCGGGTCCAATTTTTTTTTTTATTTAATTATAATCTATTATAGTATTAGTTATGATTTATAGTTGTTTCGATTATAGAGTAGGTTTCAGTTAGGGGGAATTATTTAATAGTTGGATAGAAAAAAAAGAAAATAGACAAATATGAAAGAATATAAGTGAAACCTTTATCCCCACTGCTTTTGATTTACACCATATCACAAATTCATTTGCTCCCTCCATGCTTTTGTAATTTTTTTCTCTGCCCCATTGGATATTTAAAGTGGTATTGGTTATGATTATGGGTGGCCTGGCCAACATTTTCAGTCCGATATATTATGGGTGGGCTTGAGATTTATACTTTCAACCCGGTCCGACTCGGTCTGGCCCGTTATTAAATTAATTATAATATATTAAAATATATATTTGTTGTTGGGTTTTAAAATTATCTTTGTTGATGTTATTGAAACTCATACTTGTGGTGATGTGTGATTGAATTTATTTAAGAAATCCTTCAATTTATACATAAAAATTTTCAATTTATAATGATATCAGTATATTTATTTAAGAAATATAATGTGTGTTGAATTTAATTATGAAATGTTTTAAATTTTTTGAGACAATTACCAAAATTTTTTTTAAAAACAATAAACAAAATCAAAACTTCAAAGTTTGAGCCTTTTAACAAAATAAACCATGAATTTTCAATCTTATCAATTAAAATTATAATCTTTTAATTTATTTCAATCTAAACCATTCATCTATTTTTATTAAGTAAAATTAATAGAAAAAAAATATTTTAATCATTAAACTCAAAGTAAATATATATATATATATATGTGTGTGTGTGTGTAAAATGTCTAAAATATCATTTTTATTGAGTTTAATAATTAAAATATCATTTTTTTAGTTGATTTAACTTAATAAAAATAAGAATATGATTTATATTGAAAATAAATCAAAAGTTTAGGTTTTAAATTGACAAGATTAAAAGTTCAGGATTTATTTTGATATAGGGGTCAAACTTAGACAAATATGAAAGAATATAAGTGAAACCTTTATCCCCACTGCTTTTGATTTACACCATATCACAAATTCATTTGCTCCCTCCATGCTTTTGTAATTTTTTTCTCTGCCCCACTGGCAAGTAATTCTCCCTGTTAGTTATATTTAAAGTGGTATAGGTTATGATTATGGGTGGACTTGGCCAACATTTTCAGTCCGATATATTATGGGTGGGCCTCATATTTACACTTTAGCCCTTAAAAGTTTATTTTTTCTTACTTTGATTTTTGAAGTTTCAAATTTTTTTTCAGTTTACTCCTAAAATTAATTTATATTCAAATTAAACAGAAAATACCACGATAATTGTCATATAATATAAAAAATAATATATATTGGAATTTGAGTTTGTGTAAGAGGTGTGAATTATGTATAATAAAAAAAATTATATTCCGTAACTGTTAATGTGTTATTTTATGTCTAATTTTTAATAGAAATTAACTATAGCAGTAAATTGGAAAATTTTTGAAACATAAAGGTCAAAGTGATAAAAAATAAATTTTAAGGGTTGAAGCAAGAAAATGATTAAACACAAATAGAACAAATTGTAATTTACCCAACATTAAAATAACTTGATTAGGAGACAGTAGTATTAAGATTTCAAAATATCATAACTTTTAGGGTAAATTATATTAGTAGTCCCTACATTTTATTCCTTGTGTTATTTTGGTCCCTACATTTTCAATTGAATTAATTTTGATTCTTAATTTTAGATTTTGTATCACTTTGATCCAATTAATTACAACTCTTAGTATTTATTTTATGAAAAATACGCACATAAATATCATGTGAACTTACTCAACTTATTAAATTGATCTCAACTAATTTAGTGATAATTTTTTTTTTTAAAAAAAAATCTAATGATATTACCAATTGTACCAAATTGACACAAAATCTAAAATTAAAGGTCAAAATTGAGCAAATTGAAAGTATAGGAATCAAAATGACACAAGGTATAAAATGTAGGGACTACTAGTATAATTTGCCCTAATTTTTATATAATACACTCCTAAAAAATTGTGTGCATTACATAATTCAAATTATTAATAAAAATTAAACATATTTCAACAACACTATAAATCCAGAATTACTCAGAAAAATGAATCAATAATTTAAACTCATTTTACTCATGACCTTACATTTCATTAATTTAATCTTCACTACACAAATATATTCGGGATAAATTATAGGTTGATAAGGTGGGTTCATAGCATTTTTAAAATCATTTACGCGTTATTATTTGTTCCCATTCTCTTTCCAAAATTACTCTCCACTTATTTTTGTTTGAACCCCCACCACATTTCCAACTTTAACCCTTTCTTTGCATTCCTACCCCTTCCACTCCCACTTCTTTCTCTGGTAGTCTCACTTTTTTGCCACTTTCCCACTTTCAACCACCGCCTTCTCCACTCTAGCCATGACCCACCACCCCCATCTACTTATTACCCTTTGCAGTCTTTTTTTCCCACCCTTACTAACCCACAACCCTTTCCTAGGCCCTCACTATACTTTAGCCCTTTTTTACCCTCCAGTCCCTTTCTCTCCCCTGTGCACCACTGTTAGAAAATAATGATTTTTCAGCAATTTTAATATAAAATTAAAGTAGGACTCAACCATCGATTGAGGTGGGTCCAAATGGGTCTAGATACTCCACAAAAAGAATGAACTAAAACCATTGAAAAATGAATGAGAAAATGTCTCATAAAGTGGGCATAATGGTAGAGGTTTTGGAAAGGTGAAAAGTCACTTATCCCACATTGTTTAAAGTTGAACACATTAATGAATATTTATATACCAAGGTTTTGCCTATTGGTTAGGCCTTTTGGTCATTCAAATTTTACGAAGGAAATGAGTAATGGATAAGTGGATGATGGAATTAGGCCAAGACTATAGACTAAGTTTGTTATGAAAAAATTATGATATTTGCTCGTTGCCATCTGCTCGATCGAGCTAGGTTCGTAGACCTTGGGTTGGGTCAGTGGCCTAATAATCCTCATATGGTTTTGTGTCCAAAATTGGTTGCTCTTTTTCAGTCTCAACGTACCAACAAATTCTTAGAGCTTTCTTTCCTATCTTTGTTCTTTTGCTCTTGTGTTAGAGAGAGAGAGAGAGAGAGAGAGAGTATGCCACAGTTCTAGTTCGCCGAAGTAGCTCGGTGCGGTGCTATTACAGTAGTAGCCAATTGTTTTATCTTGGGAGATAGACGTCAGCATTACCTCAAGCACCTCCGGTGAGGTGACAAATCTGTTTTAAGGACACCGTATAATACACAGGCCTCGGTTTTCATTTCTAGGCCGGTGTAATTTCAAGGACCTCTAGTGAGATGGTTAATATATTTTAAGTACAAAGTGTGCCACATAGCCCTCAGTTTGCATTTTTGGGTTTTCTTTCCAACTTCTATTTATATTTTTTCACTCCATTTCTGTCAATTGAAACTATTTCATCTTTATTTTATAATTAGTCTATAATTTTAATAACAACCACCACAACTTTCATTCCATCTCCCTTGCACAACTCTATCTTCCCTCGTCAATCCCTTTTTTTTTAAATCTATATTGGAGGTCGCGAAAGTACGAATCATAAGGGTTGGGGGCTATGAGAGGTAAGTGTCGTGAGGATGGTGATGGTAGGGAATGATTGAGGGAGGTTATGAAAGGAACGAGAGTAGTGGGGATGGATTGGGTATGGGTTGGGGACGGTTGGGGAGAAGGGTGCCATCTAGAGCTAGTGATGGCTGGGAGAGTGCCAGAAGAGCTGGTGGTAGCTGCGGTGTGGTATATGGGGTGAGATTAGGATTAGAGTTTAGGATGATAAAATAGGAATTTGAAGTTAAGATAAAAGTACAAGGGTGAATTATAGTAAACCCTCCTCAACTATGACTCATTTTTTGGTTGCCCCCCTAATGCATAAAACACAACATTTAACCCCCTCTAAGTATATGGATCCCAAAGCCAAGTAACACCGTTTGTTAGGATTTTTATCCTAATGAAATAATATGTCATTGTGTTTTGGGAATACCTCTCTTGACAAAACTTATTATCATTAATATCGATTCAAAGAGTTTTATTTTTATTATCGTCTTCTTCTCCGACTTTGTTATTAACCATCACTTGGAAGACTTTTTTGAATGTAGATAGAGATTTTGCTTGATTGGTGGCTAATGTGTTTCTCAAAAAATATCAAGAAATGGATAAGATTTGTAATGGTAAAAATGTTTTGGACATCCGCCAGGACATCCCCAAGTATGACCACTCTAAACAATTGATGTCATCCTATATGACATCCCCTAAAATGACCACCTTGTGTAATACGTGACAACTGAAAAAGTTAAAAATAACGATTTAACCATTGGAGCAACATTGCCACCCGACATCCCCTAGTATGACCACTCTAAACTATTGAGGTCATCCTATAGGACATCTCCTAAAATGACCACCTTGTGTAATACGTGGCAACCGAAAAAGTTAAAAATAACAATTTAACCATTGGAGCAACATTGCCACCCGACATCCCCTAGTATGACCACTCTAAACTATTGAGGTCATCCTATAGGACATCTCCTAAAATGACCACCTTGTGTAATACGTGACAACCGAAAAAGTTAAAAATAACAATTTAACCATTGGAGCAACATTGCCACCCGACA